TGAGGTACAACCACACAGACCAGGTGAGGTACAGCCACACAGACCAGGTGAGGTACAGCCACACAGACCAGGTGAGGTACAACCACACAGACCAGGTGAGGTACAACCACACAGACCAGGTGAGGTACAGCCACACAGACCAGGTGAGGTACAACCACACAGACCAGGTGAGGTACAGCCACACAGACCAGGTGAGGTACAGCCACACAGACCAGGTGAGGTACAACCACACAGACCAGGTGAGGTACAGCCACACAGACCAGGTCAGGTACAGCCACACAGACCAGGTCAGGTACAGCCACACAGACCAGGTGAGGTACAGCCACACAGACCAGGTGAGGTACAGCCACACAGACCAGGTGAGGTACAACCACACAGACCAGGTGAGGTACAGCCACACAGACCAGGTGAGGTACAACCACACAGACCAGGTGAGGTACAGCCACACAGACCAGGTCAGGTACAACCACACAGACCAGGTGAGGTACAGCCACACAGACCAGGTGAGGTACAGCCACACAGACCAGGTGAGGTACAACCACACAGACCAGGTGAGGTACAGCCACACAGACCAGGTGAGGTACAGCCACACAGACCAGGTGAGGTACAGCCACACAGACCAGGTGAGGTACAACCACACAGACCAGGTGAGGTACAGCCACACAGACCAGGTGAGGTACAGCCACACAGACCAGGTCAGGTACAGCCACACAGACCAGGTGAGGTACAGCCACACAGACCAGGTGAGGTACAGCCACACAGACCAGGTGAGGTACAACCACACAGACCAGGTGAGGTACAGCCACACAGACCAGGTGAGGTACAACCACACAGACCAGGTCAGGTACAGCCACACAGACCAGGTGAGGTACAACCACACAGACCAGGTGAGGTACAGCCACACAGACCAGGTGAGGTACAGCCACACAGACCAGGTGAGGTACAGCCACACAGACCAGGTCAGGTACAGCCACACAGACCAGGTGAGGTACACCGTCATACAGGTTTTGAGGTACAGCCACACAGGATAGGAGGAAGTGTTCAACCAATACTTCTTATATGAGAAGAAGGGGGGGGGGGATACCAGGCCTGGTACCCAGTAAGAGATCTATTACTGCTAATTACATTAAGCATGTGAACAAACAAGGCAGAATAGACTTCGTCTTGGTTACCAGTATCCTGCTCACTCATAACAAGTGTGTGATACATGCAGCCACTGTCAAGCTGTAGGCATCATGCCGGCCAAAACTACGATGAAGATACTGCTGTAAAACTATGAACAGAAAGCCAGACCTGAAATTGTTCAGGAAAGACAGACCTGAAAATGTTCAGGAAAGACAGATCTCAAGAAGATGGAAGACGCCGAGAAGCAATAATTTCGAGATAAAGTTGTTAACATTGAACCACATCGCAGGTTCATTTAAATACAGTTAATCCTCGTTGAGTGAATATATCCATCATACCCAGAGTGTGGGGTTGATGCATGCCTCCACTCAGGGAGCACCTTCACTCAGGGAGTGTCAGATATTGGTGACAGATGCGACTCGCCTTGAGTAGGTCGCAGTGTTGCCAAGGCGGGGGCACACCCCCCCCCCTTCCCCAACCCCCCTGGTCGTCGTCGACGTCGTCGTCGGAGCTGGTGAAGACAGTGTTATAAGGGTGAGGGGAGGTGTACGTCTCTAGAGATACTCCAATAGGCAGCATAATTGATTGGGTTTCACCCAGCATATATTATATGTATAAGATCACAGCCTCATTTACAAGTTTAATTTACCTCTATTATAGAGACGTATATGGATCTGAAGATGTTTTTCACTGATTATGTCAATTGTAAATTATAATTACTTTCTGAATAACAAGTTTTTTAAACTATAAATCCAAATTGTGCTGAGTATAATTGCGATGAGGAGTAAAATATGTTTAGATGCCAGTAAATGCCAGTACATTATTGTTTATGTAACTTATAACATACCAGTTGGCATTTGTAGGGGAGGTCGACATACAGACGCCTCGTCGTTCCCTGGTCACCACACAATGACAGAACTTACTAATTAATCTGTAAATTCAGTATCAATTAACGATCAAATCAGCTCGAAAGATGCGACTTAATTATGTTTATATATTTTAGTTAATGAGAAGAGGGTACAGCGATCTCTTAGTCCGCACCCTTTTTCCTTTCTCCAGCCACACCCTTCTCTTCTCCAGCCACACCCTTCTCTTCTCCAGCCACACCCTTCTCTTCTCCAGCCACACCCTTCTCTTCTCCAGCCACACCCTTCTCTTCTCCAGCCACACCCTTCTCTTCTCCAGCCACACCTTCTCTTGTCCAGTCACATCCTTCTCTTCTCCAACCACCCTCTTCCATCTCCTACCACCCGTTCCCATCTCCAACCTCCCTCTTTCCTTCTCAAACTATCCCTCTTTCCAATCTTCAACCACCTCTCGTTCCCTCCCCAACCATCCGCCCCTACCCATCACCAACCACCCCCCTTGCCATATCCAACCACCTCATTCTTATCTCCAACCACCTCCCTTCCCATCTTAAACCACCACCCTTGTACTTGTAGCCCGCTCCTTACCACTCCGTATACTCCGGCCTCAACCCAGGTCGCACTCTAAACCAATGTCAGGTTAGGTTAGGGTTTGTAGGCTTCGTTGCTTTGGCTTGTAACCTGAGGCTGGTCCTCTCCCCCAGTTCGGTTGAGATGATCTGCCTGCACACCTGCTGTAACACGGTGGTTCTTAACAGACTTACCTCGCCTCCAGGCGATCATGGGAGGGTTTTGTGGGAATTATACCCAGGATACATGTTCACTGTATGTTTCCCTCATCCTTGTCCACACTTCCTGGAGTTTTATCTTAAGTTGTGCTACAAGGACGGGGAAGAATAGGATTGGGAGGATCCATCTCCTGTCTTCCACTTGTTGTGTTCTAGGTCTGAATATCTCCACCCTAGTTTTTTCTCCGAGTTTCTCCGGGCCGAATGTATTATTGTCTCTGGGTAGTCTCTGTTCCTAAACATATGTCCCATAGGTCATCAAGCTGGGGATATAGTGTCTCTGTACACCCCAGCTTCCTTCACTACCCACCCCCAGCTGCCTTCACCACCCACCCCAGCTTCCTTCACCACCCACCCCAGCTGCCTTCACCACCCACCCCAGCTTCCTTCACTACCCACCCCCAGCTTCCTTCACTACCCACCCCCAGCTGTCTTCACCACCCACCCCAGCTTCCTTCACTACCCACCCCCAGCTGCCTTCACCACCCACCCCAGCTTCCTTCACTACCCACCCCCAGCTGCCTTCACCACCCACCCCAGCTTCCTTCACTACCCACCCAGCTGCCTTCACCACCCACCCCAGCTTCCTTCACTACCCACCCCCAGCTGCCTTCACCACCCACCCCAGCTTCCTTCACCACCCACCCCAGCTTCCTTCACTACCCACCCCCAGCTGCCTTCACCACCCACCCCAGCTTCCTTCACTTCCCACCCCAGCTGCCTTCACCACCCACCCCCAGCTTCCTTCACCACCCACCCCCAGCTTCCTTCACCACCCACCCCAGCTTCCTTCACCACCCACCCCAGCTTCCTTCACCACCCACCCCAGCTTCCTTCACCACCCACCCCCAGCTTCCTTCACCACCCACCCCCAGCTTCCTTCACCACCCACCCCAGCTTCCTTCACCACCCACCCCAGCTTCCTTCACCACCCACCCCAGCTGCCTTCACCACCCACCCCAGCTTCCTTCACCACCCACCCCAGCTTCCTTCACCACCCACCCCCAGCTTCCTTCACCACCCACCCCAGCTTCCTTCACCACCCACCCCAGCTTCCTTCACCACCCACCCCAGCTTCCTTCACCACCCACCCCCAGCTTCCTTCACCACCCACCCCCAGCTTCCTTCACCACCCACCCCAGCTTCCTTCAACACCCACCCCAGCTTCCTTCAACACCCACCCCAGCTTCCTTCACCACCCACCCCAGCTTCCTTCAACACCCACCCCAGCTTCCTTCAACACCCACCCCAGCTTCCTTCACCACCCACCCCAGCTTCCTTCACCACCCACCCCAGCTTCCTTCACCACCCACCCCAGCTTCCTTCAACACCCACCCCAGCTTCCTTCAACACCCACCCCAGCTTCCTTCACCACCCACCCCAGCTTCCTTCACCACCCACCCCAGCTTCCTTCAACACCCACCCCAGCTTCCTTCAACACCCACCCCAGCTTCCTTCAACACCCACCCCAGCTTCCTTCACCACCCACCCCAGCTTCCTTCACCACCCACCCCAGCTTCCTTCAACACCCACCCCAGCTTCCTTCAACACCCACCCCAGCTTCCTTCAACACCCACCCCAGCTTCCTTCAACACCCACCCCAGCTGCCTTCACCACCCACCCCAGCTTCCTTCAACACCCACCCCAGCTTCCTTCAACACCCACCCCAGCTTCCTTCAACACCCACCCCAGCTTCCTTCAACACCCACCCCAGCTGCCTTCACCACCCAACCCAGCTTCCTTCACCACCCACCCCAGCTGCCTTCACCACCCACCCCAGCTGCCTTCACCACCCACCCCAGCTTCCTTCAACACCCACCCCAGCTTCCTTCAACACCCACCCCAGCTTCCTTCACCACCCACCCCAGCTGCCTTCAACACCCACCCCAGCTTCCTTCAACACCCACCCCAGCTTCCTTCAACACCCACCCCAGCTTCCTTCAACACCCACCCCAGCTGCCTTCACCACCCACCCCAGCTTCCTTCAACACCCACCCCAGCTTCCTTCAACACCCACCCCAGCTGCCTTCACCACCCACCCCAGTAGCGACGTGTGAGAGAGGGCGCGTCTTGGGCTCACTGGTAATGAGGTTCGACACATTCCTCATATTGAGACCAATCATTCACTCCGTCCTCTCGAACGTTCCCAACGTCACTAAACTGATGAACTAAATTGCCTGAACCTAACTTAAATGAACACCTGCGAATAGAAAACGGGACATCACGGTACGCTGGTCCACATGGCTTTGTTGGCCAGCTGACTGGCTGGCTTCATGGCTTTGAGGACCAGCTGACTGGCTGGCTTTATAGCTTTGTGGACCAGCTGACTGGCTGGCTTCATGGCTTTGAGGACCAGCTGACTGGCTGGCTTTATGGCTTTGTGGTCCAGCTGACTGGCTGGCTTCATGGCTTTGAGGACCAGCTGACTGGCTGGCTTTATGGCTTTGTGGACCAGCTGACTGGCTGGCTTCATGGCTTTGAGGACCAGCTGACTGGCTGACTTTATGGCTTTGTGGTCCAGCTGACTGGCTGGCTTCATGGCTTTGAGGACCAGCTGACTGGCTGGCTTCATGGCTTTGAGGACCAGCTGACTGGCTGGCTTCATGGCTTTGTGGGCCAGCTGACTGGCTGGCAGCATGGCTTTGTGGGCCAGCTGACTGGCTGGCTTCATGGCTTTGTGGGCCAGCTGACTGGCTGACTTCATGGCTTTGTGGGCCAGCTGACTGCTGGCAGCATGGCTTTGTGGGCCAGCTGACTGGCTGGCAGCATGGCTTTGTGGGCCAGCTGACTGGCTGGCAGCATGGCTTTGTGGGCCAGCTGACTGGCTGGCAGCATGGCTTTGTGGGCCAGCTGACTGGCTGGCAGCATGGCTTTGTGGGCCAGCTGACTGGCTGGCAGCATGGCTTTGTGGGCCAGCTGACTGGCTGGCAGCATGGCTTTGTGGGCCAGCTGACTGCTGGCAGCATGGCTGACACGTGAAAAATACTCACATCGTTCATTATTGGTACTCTACGACCTGTGTGAAGGTTAGGCATGGTACTATGGTAGTGACCAGTGTAACAGTATGGTAGTGACCAGAGTAACAGTATGGTAGTGACCAGTGTAACAGTATGGTAGTGACCAGAGTAACAGTATGGTAGTGACCAGTGTAACAGTATGGTAGTGACCAGAGTAACAGTATGGTAGTGACCAGTGTAACAGTATGGTAGTGACCAGTGTAACAGTATGGTAGTGACCAGTGTAACAGTATGGTAGTGACCAGTGTAACAGTATGGTAGTGACCAGTGTAACAGTATGGTAGTGACCAGAGTAACAGTATGGTAGTGACCAGTGTAACAGTATGGTAGTGACCAGTGTAACAGTATGGTAGTGACCAGTGTAACAGAGTTATCACAGTATTACTGCACCATTACACAACGACGCTTGTATACCAGTCAAAACAATGTCCAGCTCTCTGTAGATTAAATGTCCACTGTTGTGATGCATATATTAGTTTGGAGATGGTTAGCATCACTTTAACTCCGGAATAGTTACGTACCTGAGAATAATGTGCTAATTGCTAGGCTCGTAGGGAAGTAACTCAATAATTAATCAACAAATAGCACAGCCTGAGGCCAGGTCAGGAGTGCACACTCACAGACTACAAGAATTTGTAATCAAACATAGCAGAAACGATTGGTCCTCGCTCCCTATAAAACTTCCTCCTCTACCAGGCGCCCTATCTATTGAGGGCGCCTGACAGCTGGGTGGACAGTGGTTCGGATTCGTAGTCCTGAGGTTCCGGGTTCGATCCCCGGTGGAGGCGGAGACAAATGGACAAAATGTTTCTTTTACCCTGATGCCCCTGTTACCTAGCAGTAAATAGGTACCTGGGAGTTAGACAGCTGCTACGGGCTGCTTCCTGGGGTGGAGGCCTGGTCGAGGACCGGACCGCGGGGACACTAAAAGCTCCGAAATCATCTCAAGATAACCTCAAGATATCAAAATGACCGTAGATTAACCAGGTAGAGGGCCTTCACTCATCAACCTTATTAATTGACAGTTGTTCTGCCTAAGGGGGTTGGGGTTTATGGAACTTAAACCTCCAAAGAGAGCTCTGGTTGTTGCCCCAGACTGTTACTTGCGTACAGGCGGACAACGTCCTCCAACAGACAACTGACCTCGGCAGCTCCACTCCTGCTACCGTCGATCGACCAACAATGAACACTGGATTGCTTGAAATTTACTCTGGAGATCACCCTGTATGCCTCTTGATCTGGCAGAGGGGTTCAGCATCACACGTTTAGGGGTGCGGCTCCAACACTGGCTTTGTTGTCCTGTGTACACACCATACTTGAGCCGCCGTGACTCCCCACTCTCTCCTTGTTTAGTATGATCTCCTAAATCCCCTTTTTACGAATTAGTGCTCTCTGCCACCCTGTCCACAGCTGTGATCTCTTTCTCTCTCTCTCTCTCTTCCCCCCCCCCCCCCCCCCTCTCTCTCTTCCCCCCTTCCTGCTTTCTGGGAAGCCTCACCAGGAAAAGAGGAAAAGCCAGCTAACAATTCACATTTAATAAACGAAAAAAAACATATACAATACTTGATATGAGAAAAAAAATATTATCGGACAACATTCTAAGCTGCTTTAACCCGGTAGCAATCCAATATCATATCCTGGCTTCACCAACCGTTCATATCAAGTGGCTGATCAACTGTTGGATTACCACTTACTACTTCCTAACTAAATGGGGGGGGGGGGGAGGAGTGAAATCTCGTAATAATATTGTATAATCAGCCCTAAAAGTATATAAACTCAGCCTGTGGTTGAAATATCAGAAACATCTGCATAAATATTTCTCAACAGAAGAAGAAATCAATCTCTCACCTTATACTGCGTCTTACACGCCAATAATCATTCAAGCACTCCCTTTATACATTCCTGTGTATCCACCATAAACCTCTGTTCTGCTCCTGGAGGCTCACTACCATGTACTCTAGGATCTCCAAAATATTCAACAAAACACTTCTTACAGTTCTCCCAAAACTGCTGCACAATGAAGTCCTCTTCAAACACCAATTTTGCTTTACTACTGATTCCACGGAGGCATGTGAAACTCCTCTTCACTACTCCTTTACACTGGTTGACCACTCGTTATCCTACCCGTTGTTGTCGCGGAGGGGCTTAGTGTGCGGCTGCCGGAGTGTGATGCTCCATGGGTCAGTCCTCTGTCCTTTTGCAGCCTTATGCTCCTGCTGCTGTCGGAAGTACACCACGGGACCGGCATCATCCATTCCGTTGCACCTGGAGTCAGCACCTAGCACCAGAGTGGGCCCCGACAAGGCAACCAACCTCGAGCAGAGGACGGCAACACAAGGGGCGGCACCACGGGGGAATCACACCCAACATTTTGCAGCGGCACAGACACAGAGCTCTCACGATGAACATACTTCTTCTCGACGACTACAAGGTCTCTGGCTGCAGGAACCACCTCAGGAGGAGGAACCATCTCCCACTGAGGGGAGCCGACATCGGGTGGCTCAGGTTAGGCTCAGGTAAAAGCGTGGAGTTCCTCACATCCTCGCCTCTATCCGAAGCGGGTGCCTCCACCACTACGACGGCCAAAGCAGTACTGCCAACACCATGGACCTCCACGTCCACAGGAGACAGCACACAACTTTGAAACTCCCCCACATTCGCCCAGGCCACGCCCATCGAGGCCATAACAGGGGAGGAGAGCCGCAAGCTCTTAGGATCCGGACGCGAATCGTCCGAGCTGTCCACTGGACCAGAAGCCGAGTCACTATAGAGATGCTGGGAGCCCACACCCGGGCATGACGCAGGACCTCGGCAGCAGCGACCACATGGGGGACCGGCCCAACCCCAGCAGAGGCCCGGAACACACACCATTCAGTTGCACAGGTGATAAGGGTGGTGGGGTCTCAAAGACAGGAGCCGCAGGAGAACCGGCCAATACATCCACAAAAGACGAATGCGGAGACTAGGTCTTAGACTGGGTCATGCCCTCCCAGCATCACCACTAACAGCCACTGAACACACAACTGTGTGTTCAGTGGCTGTTCAGTGACACTGTGCCGGCAACTGCACAGTATCCGGCACCCAAACACCAGCAGGAGCCAGCGTAGAAACCGACACCAGGGAAGGCTCAACATCCACAGGCACTTGCACCACTTCACACGCCTCCTGCTGCTGTCTTCTCGAATTCTGCCGGGTAACTTTTCCTTTTCTTGTGTTTCGTTTTTCTTCCTCCCCCCTCTTCTCCTTTCTCATTGTCATTTCCCATAGACCTTTTGCCAGTTTTGATTATTCTTTTGGCTTTCTTCTGTTTTGACGCCCAGGTGTTTGAGGAGGCATACTCTCTCACCTGTAGAACTTGGGTACCCGACGTCTCGAGCGAGGGGGGGGGGGGGGCGCTTTTATTGTCAATCCTTCTTTCGTTACTGAACCCGATCCCGACTGACTGACAGTTCTTAAGGTGGCGTTTGTGGGAAGTATACTCACGACATACCCCTGGGGAGGCCCCCGGCAACATGTCTTTTGTTGGGTATCCTATCCTCTAATTGTAGCTCCATGGTGGGTGTGGGGTCACATTCGTTAATAAAAGTCTTTCCTCTCGTTTTTATGTTGCATACTGTTCCTCTTGTACCTTCTCGAGCTCGTGGGGTGGGCGACTAAGCCCCCGAATCAGACTGTGTTGGAAGACCAGGCTCTGTAGCCCCTTCTGCATTGGGCCCAGACCTTGCTCCTCCTTTGACACTCCTGACTACTCCCCTCGACTCCCCTCCCTCCTCTGTGGTTGCGTTGAGCCACAAGCCCTCAGTGGTGACCACCTTATCCCCTGGCACAGCTCAGTCTCTCATTGTGACTACTGCGCCTTTTAACCCCTCTCTCTCTCTGGGGGTTCTCAACGCCGTCCTCGCCACAGCCACACTCTCATGATCCCTTCCTGTACTAATGCGTACCAAGCCTTCTTTGGTCCTGCTTCGTTGGCCAAATATTTTGATCTCCTCCCTCTGGATTCTACACCTCCTGACGATTTCTCCCTCCACTTGTTGATTTAGTAGATGCCTCTGTTATTTTCAATGCCACCCATCTCGGTACACGTGTTGTTGCTGCTCCTTCTCAGGATGCAGCCACCTGCTTGGCCGCCTTATCCTGCTTTAGCGAGACCCCTGTTCCGGTCTCCAAGAACGCTCGGTTAAATGCCAGTGTTTGCACTGTTTTCCTCTCACCCCATGTTGCAACCGGTATTAGAAATTTACAGGACTGCCACGAAGATATAAGGCATATTCTCGAAGCCCAGGACCATTCTGTCCTCCAGGTGGACACATATACTCGTCTCCCTCGCGGTCGTCGCCATCAGCCCCTTCGGGCTGTGAAGATTACCTTTGATGGTAAGACCCATCTTCCCTCTGTCATTCTTGCTGGTGCCAGGTGCTCTGTCCAGGAGTACATTCGATCTCCCCGGCTCTGTAATAAGTGCTGGAGGTTTGGGCATGGTGCCCTCCGGTGCTCCAGTATTGTCTCTCTCTGTCCCTTGTGTGGAAACGAAGGTCACTCTAAGCTGGAGTGCACTTCTCCCCGGGCTCGCTGCCTCAATTGCAGTGAGGCCCACCCTACCTTCTCCCGCACATGTATTCGTTACAAACTTGAGACAGCTGTCCTCACCTTGAAGAACAGGGAACGTTTGTCTTTTCCTGAGGCG